GGAAATGTCGTAGTTCTAATACGGTTAAATCATTTTCACTATCGTATCAAATATGCCGCAGACACTGAAGATTTCTGTTTTATCGATTCAAGTTGGCAGCCATCACCACTTTATAGATCACTGCGGTTTATTAGCACTACAAGCGCAGTTTTGTATTTCTGTTATGTATATTTCTATTATTACAAAATATTAGTAAACGTAAATATCACATTTTTAAATAAAACTAATTTGGAAAACAATAACATGTCAACACTTACGTGAAGTTACGAGCGCTGTCTAAATTCTCATCTCATTTTAGTCCGCGGTTTTTAAATGGCAAATATCTAAGTAGTAAAAATTTGATGATATAATTACAAAGTGGCTTTACTTTGATTTGTTTTAAAATCATCATCATGATCAGGTCATGACGGGCGTACATTATTATCTGTGGTTTACATTTTAAGGTCTTAACTAGCTTATTTCTAGTAAGGTTAGGTCCTTTGGTATGAGGAGTGGTAATAAATTAAAATTTACTTGCTATTTCAAGGCAAGAAATTTATTACGGTAGACCAAGTTTTGCAGGTACTTAGCTCATAGACAAGATTGTTTGTCAAGATTGTTGACAATATATGTGTATAATATCGGACACTCCAATCACAGAACCCGTTAGCATGTTGCGGTCAGCCTGCGCTTCTTACTGGTTTTATCTCATATATAAAATTCTCGTGTCACAATGTTAGTGAGCATAATCCTCCGAAACGACTGGACCGATTTTTATGAAATTTGTAGGTCTGAGAATCGGGCAACATCTATTTTTCATACCCACCAATAATTAGTAGACAAGGGTAGACCACCAATATTTTTTTTTCAATATTTCCTAGAGATAATGTATATGGCAAAACAAAGTTTGTCGGGTATATATATATAGATATATACATTTTTTTGTGATATATAAATAGAAAAACGACTTCAAATAGCTATAATTAAAGTAACAATATTGAAATGTATGATTCGGGAAGTCCATACAATATTATAATATATAAAATGTTCTAAAAAAATATATTTTATAACTTAAAATTTTATAAATCCTCTCGGATACCATTCACCAGTAGGGTGGGTGGCTATGTCGGACTTAACCAGCATGTGGCACCTAAGATCAGTGCTGACACTTTGGGTAAATCTTGTGCTTTTCATTCGTACTTTATCAAAGGGTAGACCTAAACGTATAATTCTATTCTTGCATCGTTTAGTCATTCTTTGTTACACAAATGGCGACATAGGTATAATTTAATACGTAATGATAAATAAAGAACGTTGCTAAATATACCATACAAGGCAAGTAAATATTTGTTTTATCGGAACTACATTAGAAACTTCCGTGTCCTTTAACAGTGAACAAAAAGGCCAGGCAAAGTCGTTCTGAAAATAACAGATTTCATTTCTAAACTCACAGGCATTTGAAGAACAAACTCTTTCTTATCCGGCACTCCTTCCCGCGAAATCTAAGCACGTATTAATTCGCAAGTTTTCAGGCTTGATGACTGCACACCGTAGATGCCGAGAGGGTAACAAAGAGGGAGGAGGGGTGCTAGAGATGGGATCGTGACAAGAATTGCGAGAGACTTCAATAAAAACCTGGCAAGGTGGGGTACTACTTTCTCGGAAAATTAGTTGTCGCATTAGGTACCTATTACTGGCATTCGGCTGCTGATTAACCGACGGCGAATCGTATTTTGCGGGGCGTACGTGTTCGGAACACGGCCATTCCTAATTAGCGCGCTGCTGATGAATGTTTGTTTTACGAACGTACCTCAATCAATGCTTAACGATATTTCGGGGAACAGGCTGTTGAGAACAATTGATCTTGTTTTTTATTTATTCTAACACATTTATCGTACGCTATTTACTTTCCTCGTCTTATATTATGCAAACTCTTCTGATATCGTAATCAAATTTTGTTTCGATAAATTCTAATATTATAAAAAAGCTCTGACCTTTTGCTCCATAGCCTCATAAATCTGAAAAGATTTTGTGTAACTGAAATTATTTAAGTAAATATTTCAGCTCTAATTTTATAATTAAATGATACGACAAAAAACACAAAATGGCGGCACGTACCTAGTCCTGCGCAAATTAAGTTTACGCTACCTAATTATAAGTAATGTCTTCTTTCTGGACTGACTTCAATAAGTGTCGTGATGTTTTTTACACCTTAAAACAATTTTTGTGTTGCCACCCTCAGTTTATTAATGTTATTAAAATGCGCTATAAATATGAATATTAAGGGCTACCTATGGATGCACATTCTGAGTATGAAGGTTTTCCATTTAAGTACATTCATTTATTTTGATTATATGCTGAGTTAACATGATTTAAGTTATACCTTTAAACGGCGCAATTTCTGAAAGGTAAATGTGAAGTACAAAATAAAAGTATAGTCTCTAATTTACATCACATCACACATCAACAGCCTTTAATAGTCCACTGCTGGACATAGGCCTCTCCTTAGAAAGAAGGTTTTGGCCTACTATACCTAATTTACATGGAAATGATAAAAATAAACCTTAGTAAATACATAATGCAGTGAAAACTACGATTGTGTGTCCAGTGATGCCTTAGTGCCTACACATTCAATATTAGTGGTTGTGAGCAAAATGTAACAGTAATAAAGATGGCGTTGTGTCCATATTATTTTCAGACATCTTTCACATAACGCCATCTCGATTCAAACGAAGCAAATCTTGTACTATGAAAGCTAGATTGACTAATAGAATAATTATATACTTTTTTTGTAAATACAAATACGAGTATATTATACATAGGAAACACCCAAACTCCGAAACAAATATTTGCAGATTATACAAACATTTGGTCCGACCCGAAAATCGAACCCGAGACCTCAGCACAGCAGTCGCATCCGCTACTGTAACGTCCAGGTAAAACACATGTTAATGTTAAAAATGATATTTTTTTAAAAGACGCGACGCGCGAATTGCGATTAAGTATAGTGAGCAAACTCCATCAAATCAATAAATATATCTTCCTCAGAGCACTATTGAGTTTCTGTATATGATATAACAAGGTAAACATATAATGTATGTCACTTGCTGATACAGAGGCGTTTCTACGTTATTCTGCGTCGAAATGTAAGTTGCTTTATTACTTGTAAAAGATTGTTCGAATTGAACTTTAGTTCGTATTCTAATGATAATGTAATATATGTAATAAGGTGTGTGATATATTTTAGGCATGTTAGTGACACCGAGACTAATTAAGGCCTAGAGTTATAACGCTAGTTCATCCCGTGGACAAGAGCTAATTCTTCCAGTTGCTGTCAGTGGCATTTGGAAAATATTATCTAATCAAATGATAGTCACATTCTTGGTCACTAGTAACCGTGATTCTGGAAGAAACAGCGGTTGTTATCAACATTTACACATAATTATAAACATTGTACCATATAATAATAATAATAATATATCTAACACATCTCACACACGGCCGTCTGGTCCCAAACTAGGCAGAGCCTGTACTAGGGTAACCAGACTGCTGATAAACATACTTATATATTTCTAAATACATACATATTAAAGATAAATTACACCCAGACACAGAACAAATGACCGTGCTAATCACACAATATTTGTCCTGGGTGGCGATCGAACCCACGACCTCCGGTTTAGCAGTCAGGGTCTCTAACCACTAGACCAACAGGCCCGTCCAAAAATACAATATGTCCTGTGTGCTCACATTTTATTCCTGCGTTTAAATGTATCCAATCTTTTGTAGTGTACATGTGTGTCTAACAGTGTATGTGCGTGTTCAGTGTGATATGTAAATAATTATATGATTTTGTTAGTCTTGTATCTTGTATCGTACTATCGTATGTTACTGTAAAATTGCAACTCTCCATGCCATCCTTAATTTCCTTGTCTATCCAGCGGTTGCGTGAAAGAGATCGCAAATCGCGATAAGGCCGCTAATTGTACAACTTTTTTAAATAGCTAGTTTTACTTTCTTTATGTAACTGTCCCTAGATTATACAAACTGCTCTATAATTGTGTTATTTTTCTTGTACAATAAAGAGTTAACTATTTATCTATCTATCTATTTTAGTTAGAAGGTTTAGACTCTCCTGCAAAAGCCTATTAGAGCCTATTAGCCGTTACACGAGCTATTGCTCACATTCAGCAATTCATCTGTAGTTTGTTTTTAATTATGCTTTTCTTTTAATACACTCTTAGTTTTCGCATCTATTTAATTAAGTGACCCGTTTTCGGCAATAGCCTTTCACCCTTTAACGTAAGCGGAACTAAAATTAAAGTTTTGTCTGCTTATTCCTTCCTGGATATAGGTTTGACTATAAGTATGAAGAAATTGTGACCAAAATTGGATATTAATCCTTAATGAGTTTGAAATGTCTTATAAGTAAAAAAATAATAGGTAATATAAATTTTACTTGATGATTATGTGAGCCAACATTAAGGGTCCTTTGTAGTAGCTTTGTTCTCAAGTTTAACGATGTTTCAACAGTGATATCGAAATCTCTCTCCATTATATACCTAACATCATTCAATATACAATATTAACAACGTAAATGATTAAATTAATGGGACCGTATCTGTTTCACTTGATTACATCTAATTATTACTCATGTCAGTATAAAGCATTGTACATATATATTATAACAAATTAACTTGTATTACATCGCAAAGCTGACGAATTTATAAAGGAATGTCATTACTACCATTACTCTTTAAAAATAAATTAAATGAACTTTTTTAAACTGTTTAAAAAATATACGTAACCATCTGATCATACAATGCCATAGACTAAATAGAACACCGCGCAAGCTGCGTCAACGCTGGTGTCCAAGTTAAATATAATAACTAAATATAATAAAATTATTGGGTAGTAATTTGCGTCTCTCATATCACAAACTCATTAATAACAATAATTAGCGAGCTGATAATTTTAATTAGAACTTAATTGAACATGTCGTTCATCCGTGAGTAACTTACCGTTTTTGTTGGGAGGCTGGCGTTATACGAACGCGATTTCGTTGTTGATACCTGGAACAATAAATCAATAATTGTAAAACAAATATCAGCGCATAATAATAATAATATAAAATTATATTTTTTATCGAGTCTGCTGGTCTAGTGGTTAGTGAACCGCGGAATGCGCGCCAACGCGCTGTCGGTGCTGTTCCGCCTAACCTCGAAACTTGGGTTGTGGGTAGGTCGCGTCATCTACCGACTGACGAAGGAACTCACTGGGCATGGTTGCTTCGGTGAGTACCTGAATCGTATTGGAAGAGACGGCACAATGTCAGCACAGCGCAGCCGACTGGGATTCAACCCAGCACACGCTGGAACACTGCCCAGCGTGGGCGCCTGAACGCGCAGTCCTGATCGACCAAATCAGACGAGACCTGTCCCGCCAGCAATAGCATAGTACAGGTTCCGCCTAGTTTGGAATCAGACTGCCGTGGGTGAGATGTGTGAAGTTATTTTTATTATTTTCCAAGAAATTTTATTAGGACTTACGTTATTATCGATTAGTAGACATAAGACAAACCCGTCTGGCCAGCGTGGTATAGTAGGCCAAAACCTCCTTTCTAAGGAGAGGCCTATGTCTAGCAGCGGACTAAAAAAGGCTGTTGATGTGATGATGTGAGACGTAAGAACTGTTGTTAGTAATGATAAAACTAATATAAAATGGGTACAGAATAACATTGTACAGACTTGCACACACATTTCGCCGCTGCTACGCCCCATGGAACAGGACGAAAGATCGGCTAATATTTGTAGTCAAGCTTATTTGAAAATTGATATTTTTTTTTGAATAAGTTGGAAATTTCAGAGCGTTTAAGCAAGCTTGAATCTTGTTCTTTATATCAGATGAAATTTAATGAGTGTAGTTTTAAAATATATTTTTTTAAATACTCGGTAAAGCCAAGGATAATACTATTTTATACCTATGTAGTGTTCTGTGAGTTTGGGTACAAGGGTAAAAGATATTTGTAAACATAATAAAAATACATACATATTATAAAAGAAAATAAATTTTAAGATAATAGTAAAACAGAGAAAAAATAATTTTAAACCATCGTGTGGTTTGACAAGCTTAGTGATTTGCTTGCAATGGCTTAAGGTGCAATAGATAAAGATGTAAGCAAAAACACGGTCAAAGGACAATTATTTAACGGTCACATTAATAATAAATGACGTAAGGTCAGAAGTTTGTCAAACGATTTCAATCTTTCTTGGCAAAAAAGATATCAATTTCTTTAAAGCACAGTTGTGAAATGGACGAAGAGACAATAAAGTCAAACATAATTAAAAACGCTAACTCAAGTGCAGGGTTCAAAGGATATTTCATTTAAAATGCCCTTTATATTAACATGACTACAATTGTAAATAATTGCCACTTAAAAATTATAGACGCCATTGTGGGTATAAATTTTAGAATAATCAATTGTTTAACAATGACTGTATTGTGCATTTGACGTGTGTTCGCGTTTACGAAGCCCGCTGTGTTGCGGACGCGTGCCCTTTGCAAACTCACTTCACGGATGATTTGCTCTTGTCTGTATTCAACTTGGAGTTAGGAAATTTCACGCTCGTATACAACCAACAATTTATCAGTTGGAATTTCGTGCCTATGTTAAGTAAAAGCTTTTGTAATGCTTTTGATTTGGTTTAATTTGTATTATTTTGCTTCAAAAAGCAATTAATAGGGTTATATTCCAGCTGAAGAATTTTGTATTCTATGTACTTAGAATATAAATGTGTTTTTCTTTTGTAAAAGTAACATATTTTTAAATTGTTTTTTACAATAACATTAAAATAATAGAATTGATAATGTATGTATTAAAAGAAAATAAGCTTAAAAATCATTATAATAAATACCTATCTTACGGCAAAGAACTTTCAATTCAGCTGAAAACAAAACTAATCAAATAATGTAACAAGATATTTGTACCGACCGACCCCCAATACCAGCCCACAAGACATAAGAACTGACGCAATTTGCAGTAAATAAGGATATCGGTTTAGCGTCATTATCCCGGTGCGGCTCGCGATATAGCGGACCTCGTAAACGCGCCTCGAGTTAATGACTTATGCTCTACCCGCCTCTGTGTTGTATTACTCTGTGCTTCTTAGAAAACGATTTATCGTACTCACTCCAGGGTATGTGAGCAATTTCTTTAAACGATTTTTCATCGTATACTTACATAAGTATACGGTTGAGTAATGAACAATGTAAGTGATAAATTATCTAAGGTACACATGTGGTGTATGTATCTAAAGGTGCTTATTTTCAATAGTAATACTGACATGAAATATTTATCGCTATTCATAAAGATACCTGCTATACATAGGTAGATGGAAAATCTCATTTTCGCCTTCTATGTAATACAAAATAATAAATAGGCCACGCTTTAGGTGGGGCAAAGATTTAAAGCCAAACTCGGCCCAGATACGTCACAATTATCTATAATCTAAACCATACCACTTTTAAATTTCGTTACATTTACCTACTCCCTTGTAGAAGTTTTTTTGTCATGAAGAGATTAATAATCTTTAAAATTTGTTTTGGTACAAATATTGTGCGTACACACACGTATTCTCCTTTTAGAAGTTAGATAAAAGGAATATTTTTTACATTACAGTATTTGACGTTACTGGTAAGTTTAGTTTAGTAGCTTAGTGAGACATGTGTGCGCTATTTTATTGAGTTTTTCCGTTAAAGTGAGCGCACTGAAAGTCTAGCGTAGCCCTTTTTCGCATGATCTCAGTACGGGCTATGCTTAAAAATAATGGTTTCATTTTTAGAATTACAGGAAAAACTAAGGAATTTGCCCTCTTTTAGTAGGTAATTACTTTTTATACCTTAAACAAAACTGCCCTATTAACTAAGACGCTAAAATTTGTACAGCTAATTGCAATGTGATATTGTAGATACCTATTTTATTTTAGAATGGCGTTGCCTTATCTTAGATTTAATCTTGAGAAACTAAGACGTTATCCGTTGTGTTCAGCCCTACCCCTATCACTAGGCGTAGCTTTAATTTATGGAAAGTCCTAAGAAAGTAGTAGCGTACAAAATATATTAGTTCAAACAATGCCTAAAGTAAGATAAGAGCACAACATATAAACTATGTCTTAACTAAAATTACGCTACGAGAGTACGCTACAGTTTATTATCAGCGTACCCAAGAAACACGTTGCACATTTTGTTTTAATTCAGTAGGATTATACGGCTTATCCTGCGAGCGGTTAAATAGAAGGCGTTTGACGTTGTCCTCTCCAGACTTGACGGGACAAAGGAGGGACGTCCGAGATGGTTTCTAATTACGACACAGACCGTTATGCAAATCGGGGGCCGACGCGGCGGGCTCTTTGCCTCTAATAAACATGCGCGGCTCTTGCGGTCACACCGCCAAATTGCTCTCCTTCCACTCACCCCGCTGGCAATAAAACCACTTGGATTGTAGTGCCCTCTCTGTACAATTAGTACTCTTTGAGCGACTACATTTCAGCGACATTCAAATTCACCCTTCTACTTCTTGATTTTGTTTTAATCGACATTTCAATTTTGAATTGCGAATCCGTTTACGGCTGCGTTTATTAGGAGCTAAGATGTTCCGGGACGAGCGCTCGGCGCATGGGGCCACGATCCAACCTATTTAGTTGGTAGATGCGTTCCGGTAAATTGAACGGCGCGGTCCAAGGAAATCGCCAGGTCGTGCCGTGACTTCACTCGTTGCCAAACTAGGCTAAAAGCACCGCTTAGCCGCCATTCGGCAGTAATTTTTCACTAAAATTGTTCGTCCAGCGGACACAGCAACGTTTAGACAATCTGGCCGTTAGCAATTTTATGCTGAACGCTATTGTTTTACGCCTATAAATAACAATGGCGAGGTACACTTCGAACGGGAGTTTTACGGACTTTTTTTTTTCATTTTTACAGGATCGGCAATACTTCCGTTTGTATTCGAACAATCGAAGTTGCCTTGGCTTTTGCTCGTGTCTGTACAAAGGTGTCCAGGTGTTCGAACGTATTTTGTAATCGTTGCACTTTGGGTCGCGTTTGCGAAGGAACTCGTTACAGGTGCTGAGAGAGCAAAAAGTATAAACTGCTCAATCGACCTTTGTACACGTGTTGTATTTTTGCACAGACCAGTGTTAATTTTTTGTAGTACGAACTTTTAATGAACTAAAGATGTTTTTGTAATATATAAAATATTTGTACTTCATAAAACGAGCAGAGAAGACGAGGAAAATTAGCAAAGAAAATTGGTGTAATAAGAAGTAGGGAATTGCAGTCTTCTGGTCGAGTTAGGGCCACATTTAGGTCAAGTATCCTGCTAATCCTGCTGGTAGTTACTTCATCATGCACGTGCGAGTGAGACCAGTGGTTTCGAAGGTTAGGCATTGATGACCGATCGTCCACTACCTAACAAAACAAAAACCTAAAAAAACGATTCTTTTTAACCAACTTCAAAAAAGAGAAGGTTCCTATTTTTATAATATATTATATAAGGTTTTTTTATAACCGTATTAATCAAATTAACCCTTTAAATGTCTATAGCCTTTACTAAACAAGAAAAAATGGTCTTAAAAATATGATAGCGTATCATACTTAGGTATTCGAAGGATTTTCCCCAAGTACCTATAATGTCCGTTTATTGGGGTCGCAAGTGATATTTACGCCCTTCTGTCCGATAGCAAATCCTTGAAGGTCGCTATATTCTGGTTTGTTATATGTACTTATAGGTCTGTTCATCTAGTGGTTAGTGACCCTGACTGCTAAGCCGGAGGTCGTGGGTTCGATTCCCACCCAAGACAAATATTTATGTGATGAGCACGATCGTTTGTTACGTTTCAGGGTGTAATTTATCTATAATATGTATGTATTTAGATATATATAAGTATGTTTATCAGCAGTCTGGTTACCATAGTACAGGCTCTGCCTAGTTTGGGATCAGACAGACGTGTGAGATAGGTGAGATTGTTAAAAAAAAAAGTTCTAGTGAAAGTGCTATAGCATCGAACGCTTCAAG